ATTTCATTGTCATTTTAATTTGCATTTTCTTGTTTACTAATGAGATTGAGCATCTTTTTATATGTTGATGGGCCATTCATGTTTTCTCTTCTGGAAAATGCCTGTTCATGTCTTTTGCCATTTTTAAAAATTATGTTTCTTTTTCTGACATTTGAATTCTTTGTATCATCAGAATTCTGATCATTTATAAGATAAATGTGTTGCAAAGTTTCTCTCAACTTATGATTTAGTTTCTCATTCTCCTTACTGTGTCTTTTGATAAGTAGTCATTCTTAATTTTTCTGCAGTCAGATTTATCAGATATTTTCTTTTATGGTTTGTTCTTTGTATCTTAAGAAATTCTTCTCCAGGGTGGGGGGATGGGGTAACTGGGTGTGATAGGCATTAAGGAGGGCATGTGATGCAATGAGCACTGCGTGTTATGTACTGCTGATGAATCACTGAACTCTACCTCTGAAACTAACAGTACACTATATGTTAATTGAATTTAAATAATATAAAATAAATTTTTAAAAAATAAAAAAATAAAAAAGAAATTCTGCTCCATTGTGTGTCAACTGTACTTCAATAAGAAAAATGAATGAATGAATCAGTAGATAAAGTTCTGTTCTATCTTATGGTCATAAAGATATTCTCCATTATCTCTCTATTTATCTATGCATATGTATACACATACACATTTAAATGTTTAATCCACTGGAAATTGATGATATGTGTGTGCATTATGCAATTTCCTTTATTTTTCCCCAAATGCATAACCAGTCATTCCCATTTCACATCTTTCCCCACTGCTCTGCAATGCCCTCTCTCATAAATCAAAAGTCTACATGTGTGCAGTCTGTTCCTGGGCTCTCCACTCTGCACTGGCAGTCTGTCTGTGCACCAATGTCACGCTATTTTAATTACTCTTGATATCTGATAGAATGAATCTATACATTTTGTTCTTCAGGAATGTTTTGGTTATAAGCTTTAGAACAAGTTTGTCATTCTCACAAAAAGATCTTTTTTTCAAGTATTAAATCCACAGATGACTTTGGGGAGATTTCTAAATGTTATTGACATTTAGACATGCAACTGACACACACACAGCTTTTCTATAAAACAACCTTACTAAACTCTTTTATTAGTTCTAATCATTTATCTGCAGCTTCTTCTGTTCTCCACATAGCTAATCATACTGACTACAAACGATGATAATTTTGCTTCTGTTCTTTCCGATCCTTATACCTTTATTTCCTCTTTTCTGTCTTACTGTGTACCCACAAAAAAGCCGGTCTCATGTGAAGGGGAGTGGTCAGAGTAGGCAGCTTGGTCTCGTTCTGGGGTGCTGTCTCCTACAATTTTTTTTGTAAAAATTGATCAAGCTGTGTACTTATGATTTGTGCCTTTTTTAAAAACACTATGTTAGGGGCGCCTGGGTGGCTCAGTCGTTAAGCGTCTGCCTTCAGCTCAGGTCATGATCCCAGGGTCCTGGGATCAAGCCCCGCATCAAGCCCCGCATCAAGCCCCGCATCGGGCTCCCTGCTCAGCGGTAAGCCTGCTTCTCCCTCTCCCACTCCTCCTGCTTGTGTTCTCTCTCTCGCTGTCTCTCTCTCTCTGTCAAATAAATAAATAAAATCTTTAAAAAATAAAAAAATAAAAAAACCCCACTATGTTATACTTCAGTGAAAAGTAAAAAAAAAAAAATTTTTTTTTTAGGACCATTTCCCCATCATCCTAACCTCTCCTTCTCCCCTAAGGATGCCACTGAGCTGGTTTGCACCTGTCTATTTTCAACCTGACTACATATTACTGAAGAAAAGAAGTCTTAAGTGAGAACACCCATGCCTGTTTACACGCATTTGAAGAACTATCAGGGGAAGGGGGCACAGGCTGAGGGAGTCTCAGCAGCCCCAGAGGGCAGAATGCAGAGGAGAGATGGAAATGCGGGAAAACAGACTTCCATAAAGCAGAAGGAAAAGCTTTCTAACCGTATTGTCACCTCACCAGAATAGACTGCTTTTTGAAAAAGTGAGCTCTCAGCCTTGTACAAAGGATTTAAGCTGGGCTGGACACACACCTACTAAGGACTCTAGGGAGGGCCACCCCATCCTCTCAGTGGAGAGGTGGGGGGCAGGGTGTGGGCCAGATCAGGACTTCTGTCTCTTTCAACTACCAGCTTTGAGATTTTTAAAGAATTGAGCTTATTTCTTATCCTACTTTTAGGGGATGCTCTATCAGCTCCTCATAATACTTAGAAAACTAATCATAAAATAAAGTCAACAAAAACAAAACATTGAAAATGTTAATATTGATAAATCCCTCTCAAGTCCGATCAAGAAAAAGAGAGAGAGAGAGAGAGAGGAAGATAACACATTAGAATTCTTTTCTCCCAAAGAAACAGCTAGCAAATATCATAGTAAGTGTGCATCCAACAATCCTTGAAAAAAAGTGTAGTAATTCCTGTTAATTTTCATCCCGAATCTGAGGTTTCTAGCCTTATATTCTGTCATTTAATATTCTTTTCACATAAAGGACAAAGTAGTTCAGGCACTCATTGATCTGAAATCCAATAAAAGAAAAAAAACTGTTAATGGGGTTGACTGGCTTTTTCGCAATGTAAGGAATTTTGAACGAAGGAAAGTTTTAAAAAATTTTTATGAGATGGGAGGCAATTCTGTGATTTCATAGTTTTACTTTACTTTCATTCAACCGAGCTCCCTCTTTCTAGAAAATCTTCCGTTTGTTGGTAGATAAAAATACATTCTCAGATTCTCCCAGAAGCTGCGCCATCAGCCTCATAGACTAAAAAGAAGCCTCGTTTCCTTGTGCCGCTATAGAAATGTCTCCCTTCTCCACTCCGGGCTTAACCGGATCAAAGTCTTTTTTCATTCTTAGTTGATTGTTCTCAGAAAATCTGGAGTTCAGACAGGCTTGAGCCAGGAGAGGGTGACCTCTTGAGGGCAGACCCTGAGGCATGGCGCTTCTCTTCCCTTCTCAGACCCAGGAGAGCTGCGCCCCCTCTCCGTGCGCGGGGAGAGTACTCCCGCCGAGCCGAGAAATCCGTTACCAGGCTGCTGTGTCCCCAAGGGCCATTCCAGGGCGGAAGAGGACCGGGAAAACCGCTGTGTTGATTCCTCGGCCCTGTCGGCTGGGCGCGCAGCGGGTCAGGTTACAGACAGGTGAGTCTGGCGGATGGGCGAGCTGCGGGCGCCAAGGAACTCCAGGCGAGACGTGCCGCCGGAGCCCGCGCAAGTCCGATCACCCACCGGAGTGGTGCTCCCACCGCAGCGGTGGAGGCACGCTGCGCGTCCCCGGGCGCACCCGAGCAGCGGCCGTGAGGGGGACAGCGCGCGCGCCCCCCAAATGCAGGCACGGCTGCTCTTTGAAACTTGGCATCTTTCTCTTACCAACTCCTCTTCCTTCTCTCCCAACTCCCCCTCCAGGTATAAAGGCAGAGAGGAAAAGCCAAAACCAAAAATAAATACAAAGCTCTCCAGCCACCTCCCCAGTAGCAGCCCAACTTCACTTAACTGGGAGACGTATTTCCCAGCCTCGGAATTTGGGGAGCGGGCGGTTATGGGGAGCCCATAATGGGAGTGGGCAAGGATAAGAAATTTGTTACGACGCCGCGTTTGCACAACATGCGCTTGGCTTTTGTTTCCATTGTGTGTTTAATTGGGTTGATGGGGCTCTTGGGGTGGTAGGTCTTGGGGTGGAAGCTGCTTTAGCAGAGCTAGCCGACTTGTTTTTCCTAGATTGTATGGCACAAATCAATAATAACGACGTGTTCTAAATTTTATTATTACTGTGTTTATTTGGGGGACTGTTGTAAATGATGGGGAACCTAAGCCTCCAAGTTACCCCCTTTACGAGATCAGAGTCCTGGAGAGTCTCCCCGCCGCCTCTACCTTCCGCCCGCCGAGATTTCAGCCAGCCGCGGAAACCATCCACCAAGTCCAGAGGAACTGAGCCATTTTCTTGCTTGCCAGTCGGAGACAAATCCACCTGGGGGCGGGGAGGGGGGGGTGCAACTCGCAGGAAGCTCCAACTCAGGATGGATGCCCTGGGAAGCGGACCTGGCGGCTTACCTCTAAGAGTTTGCCCGGAGGTGCATGTGATGGGGACTGGGGCGAGAGGTTGATTAAAAAACGTTCTTCCCTTTTTAAAAAGGGGAGGGGGGGGGAAAGAATCAGACGTTAAATTCTTTTGCAAACATTCATGCCTAAGGAAGGGCTGGAACAGGCAGCCCCGGCCGCCGGAACCGGTCGGACAGGTAGCGAGCTTGTTGACACCGTTATGTTGCAGGGCGCATGCTCACTCCCAAGTTTCCTGGTGCCTTTTCTATTCCACCTTATGAAACTTTTTCCTCGGCGTGGTCTCACCCGCGATTTAAGGCATAGGTGTCGCCGAGCCTGGAGGCTGGGAGTCGCCGGGCGTGCGGGGGAGAGGCCTGGGCCGCGCCGCGGCGGGGGGCGGAGGGAGAGGGCAGGCTAGGCGGGAAGGTGGGCTCTGGCCGCGGGGAGCCGGGGACCGAGTCCCTGCCGCAGCTTCTAGCGGGGAGCAGCCGGGAGGAAGGGGCCGCCGGCCGGGGAGGGGGCGCCACACCATGCCCAAAGTCTTCCTGGTGAAGAGGAGGAGCCCCGGGGTCTCCGTCCGCAGCTGGGATGAGCTCCCGGATGAGGAAAGGGCAGACACCTACATCCCAGGTGAGCGTCGCGCGGGGGCCGGGCCTGGGCGCGGGACTCCCGAGGTGGGGGCAGGGGTGGTCGGGTCCCCTCAGCTCCTCGGCGGGGGCTGGACTCCCCACCTCATGCCCCCTCTTTCGGGGCGGGCGGGGAGGGGGGTCCTTGAGGAGCGGGAAGACCGAGAGTGAGAGGCTGGGGAACCCGGGACGCTCTGCGCCCCCTTCCCCCTAGTGGGCGCCCGTAATTGCCCGGCGGCGGGACCGTTGGCTGCCGCGCGGGCCGGGGTGAACCTGGAGGGGAGACGGAAGGCCAGTAGGGGTTACTCTCAGTCCCATGTCCTCATGGGGTTGCACCTGGATCCGTCAGCCCCTCGGGCTAGGTGGGTTGAGGTCAGACCCCTAACCCCCTATCCCAGAGAGAGGAAACTTGGCGCACGGGGTCCGCGGCCGCAGAAGGCCCTCGGTTCCTTGTGGGCGCGGGGACTGGAACCGAGGGGCCGGCCCCCCGAACCCCGTGCTCGCTCCGGAGGCCCAGCCGGGGACTCGCTGGCCCACCCCCGCGTGTTGCCCACTTGGCCAGGTGCCCAGGTCCAGGGCGGGGCGGCGGCGGCGGCACCGCCCGCAGGTCAAACTGCCGCGGACGCCCGGGCCTGACGCCGCGTGTCTGTGTGTCGGGGCGCCGCCCCTTCCTCCGCAGTGGGCCTGGGCCGTCTGCTCCACGACCCCCCCGAGGACTGCCGCAGCGACGGCGGCAGCAGCAGCAGCGGCGGCAGCAGCAGCGCGGGGGAGCCTGGAGGCGCCGAGAGCAGCTCGTCCCCGCGCGCCCCCGAGCGCGAAATCCCCGAGCCCGGCGACGCCGAGGGCCCGGGCGGACACCTGGCGGCGATGCAGCGCCCGGTCGCCAGGTCGAAAATCAAGGTACGGTGTTGACTCTGCCCCCCGCCGCCACCTGCACCACGCCCTGGCGTCGGGCTCTGGGAGCCCGCGCCCCTCCCTGCCGCGACCGCCCGCGCACCCGGGCACCCAGGCACCCGGGCACCGAGTGCGCCCTCTGCGCCGCTCCTGCACCTGCCTCTGGGTCTCGGCCAGGGCGGCTCTGCGCGTCCTCCTGTCTGCTGGGTAGCCAGCGGCCGGCGCAGCTGAGCCCTGGAGGCCAGCTCCTGAGCCGGCACGGTCCGCGGGGGTGGCCTCTGGAACTGCCTAAAAGACCCAGGCCCAGCTTCCTCCCTCCAGCAGCCCATTCTCTGTGCAGAGCCTTGAAGAATCACCAGGCCGTCGGGGTTCCCGGGTTCGGAAAGGAGGGACCCAGGCTCTCAGGAATTCCATTCTCTGCGGCGCATTCCTAGCGCTATGAGAATTCCGAGTTTCACACACTTCCTTGCGTTCTGGAGGCAGTGGAGACAATTTGGCACACAGTGGACCTCTCACAATAACAGCTCTTCCCATTGACAATTATGAAGTGCCCGTTAGACTGCAGGTCTGTGCTGGGCACTTGAAATTTGTCATCTCTCTCAAATCTTGAATTAAACTGATGGATAAAGGGGTTCAACTGCAAATTGCCTCAGTGCCCCGCCCCCAGTGGGTTGGAGTGTTTGTTAACCATGCATTATCATTCTTCAACTCCCCCCTCCCCCGCCCCCAGTCTTCTAGAATTGTAAGCGACATCTTATCGGGACATTCATCTGGCTTTTCTGGGTAGAACTTCCATGATCGCCTGCTCAAATGTATCCGTTACCCGCAAGATTAAGGAATCTCATTCCACTGATTTAGTCAGCTGGAGCCAGGGAGTGGTGTTTTAGGAGTCACATGACCCCATTTCCTAGCCTGGTGGGACTCTGCGGGCTCCAGGCCCTGGGTGGTGGGCGAGAATTCTTGCGCGCGCCAAGGCGGTCCTTCAGCCCTGCTGCCCAGGCGGGGGATGGGGGGATGGGGAGGAGGAACTCTAGTGTTTGCTGTGGATTGGGTAAGACTAGGTTACTTTTCCTGGGCGAGGCCATCCCTCCCTATGCATATTACTGGTTCCTGGGGTTTGGCTTGGGGGTTGGCTAGGGTGCATTTGGTTATGAATTGAGGCTAGAGGCTGGAGCCGAAATCCTCTGGAAAGACATCTTTAAAGGTTGCTACGGCTCAAGCTGCTTGGTGTTAAAGTTGACTGCTGAGGTTCAAAGTCAGCTGGCCTGAGGGCTTTTCTGGGCCAGATGGGGTTAAGTGGGAGGGGACAGTTTGCCCGAGGCTGGTAGCTCTGCCCTCCAGGAAATTCTACAAAGTGTCCCACTTGCATATTTATCACCAGGCTGGAAGGACAATTGCAACGTTGTTTTGGGATTGACTGTAGTCAGTTTGCCCCTCTGTCCCCCAATTTCCCAGATTACCCTGGGAAGAAAGTGGCAGGGAAGAAAGATCCAGTCCCTTAACCAACATTTGAGGAGCTGTCTCTTGTCCCAGGCAAACAGCCCCATTGGATCCCTGGATTAAAGGAATACATAAACCACAGTCTTATTTCTATGATCTTGCCTACTTGCTGCCCCTGGGCTGGGGGATGGGGTATAGTGTTAGCTCCTCAACCTTAGCACAGCTTCCAGAGAAGTTCCATTTATTTACTGAGGATGTTTAGATTCCTTTTCCCTCTCAGCCTCCATCCGAAAATAGGAGACATTTTGGTATTAAGATACTCCAAGCCTCCAGAATTATCTTCTGTGGTGTTGGCCGTTTTCAAATGATTGTCCAAATCGCCAGTGACTTAGCATATTTCCTAATTCTAGAGTTCTATGCAGAACCTGCTGCTCTCTTAATTCTTAACCAGAAGAAAAGGAATGCCAATCCAGTATGAGGCCCATATATGATGCGTAATGACTGAGTTTGAATGACTTCAAGACACCCACTGAGCAGTTAGTTGGTTCAGAGGACTATAGGGGAGGGGCAGGTTTGAGCCAGTGCCCCGCAGAGAGGCAACATCCCATCTAACATTATGGAGTGCCTGCTGTGTGCCAGGCAGCCAGGAGATAAAAATGTTCCCTGCCTGGTGTTCTAGAATCATCTGGCAGTAACAGTTAAGCCTCTAGGCTCACTTTTTAGCTGCCTGATCTTGGGCAGGTTGCTAATCCCTCTGGGCCTCAGTTTCCTTGTCTGTGAAATGGGAATAATAATGATACCTACCTTATAGAGTGGTAAACATAATAAATGAGTGAAGAGAGGAACGTGGTAGGTGCCCATTAACTCTAGCTAGAATTATATGGGTTGGTGGAGAGACACAAATATTATTAACTCTGTTACAGCAAAGGGAATGCTAAAGCACAAGCAAAGATGTAATACATTCTGAGCCGGGAAAGGTTTCTTGGTGTGGATTTGAGGGCAGTGGAGAAGAGGGAGAGGCGGGCTCTAGGGCAGTGGCATGGGTTGAGCCCGAAGATTGAGTAGGTAAAGGACTCAAAGTTCTAGTGCCTGAAAATGGATAATGGACCTGGTAGGGTCAGAGAGAAGAGTGGGAGTTGAGGAGCTGGGCCAGGGCGAGATGATGAAGGGGCCAAGCCAAGAGGTGTGGATGCTCCTGCACAGGCACAGGAGGGCTTCTGGAAGGGTTTTGAGAAGGAAGACCTCAGTTGGGTCCATCTTACCAGCTGTGTTAGGGATACATTATCTGTCCTGAGTCTTAGTTTCCCTGACCTGTAAGGTGGAAAAGCAATAGAATCGGCCTCTCAGAAGGGTTGGTTAGATGGAATGAGGGGTGCAGAGAGTCTAGCACTTTTGTGCATGTGTGAACTGCCACTAGGGAGTTAGCGAAAAGTTATGTGCGGCAGGTTTCCTTAAGGTCCTCCAATATTCAGTTGCCTACAGTGGGGACAAGGGATTTGCCAATGTGGCTGTGCTGGTGGTGAGTGGATCTGGAAAGGAGCTGCAGGTGCTGGTTAGGAAACCGGCCTTTCCTAGCCTATCGGCCTATGACTGTGTGCCTCAGGGCATTTTGCAAAATTCTCTCTTTACTACCGAGGATTCAGTAATTTTCCAAACAGATTGAGGTGGAGAGATCATGTGTATCTAAGAAGGCGGTAGTGACAGATCCAGGTGGCTTTAAGTCTCTTTTTGCTTGTCCCATTCACAGGACTCCCAGATTACCCTGGGAAGAAAGTGGCAGGGAAAAAAGATCCAGTCCCTTAACCAACATTTGAGGAGCTGTCTCTTGTCCCAGGCAAACAGCTCCATTGGATCCCTGGATTAAAGGAATACATAAACCACAGTCTTATTTCTATGATCTTGCCTACATGCTGCCCCGGGGCTGGGGGATGGGGTATAGCGTTAGCTCCTCAACCTTAGCACAGCTTCCAGAGAAGTTCCATTTATTTACTGAGGATGTTTAGATTCCTTTTCCCTCTCAGCCTCCATCCGAAAATAGGAGACATTTTGGTATTAAGATACTCCAAGCCTCCAGAATTATCTTCTGTGGTGTTGGCCGTTTTCAAATGATTGTCCAAATCGCCTGTGACTGTGGGGCAGAGACCCCCAGAAACCCTGATCACCATGGCCCTTCCTTTGAAGGCTTATCGGAACTAAGTAACTCTGAAGTTAAATCAGTTACTTGGCGGACATTTTTCCTTCCTGACTCAGTGGCTGGTGGGACCCAGGTGGAGGTGTAGAGTAGCCGGTGAATCTGTCTTCTCCCCCTTTTTCCTTCTGTTCTCGTCCTTTGGCCTCTCCCAAGGATACTTCACAAGGAATGGAGTGTAGAATTCCTTCTGAAGGAATTCTGGCCTTTTACCTGGCTCTGTAGTCCAAGTCTTCGAGTCCTGCCGGACATAGGAATATGCGGTAGTCTTTTTCCTTTCTTCCTATCGTTTGTCACCCACCCCAACAACCAGTAATCCATGGTTATTCCTGCCCGTCCAACCCCCGCCCATCCCCAATACATGATTTTGAAGCACGTCTCATTTATCACATTACTTCAACTATAAACACCTCAGAATGTGCCTGTAGTAGATAAAGGCCAAAATACATGATCACACCTACATTAAGAGTGGTGTTCACATTGCTAATTGTCTCATCAACTCATATTTTTTTCAGTTTGCTGAATCAGGTCCACACAATGTCTACACATTGTAATTGATTGACATGTCTTTCAGTTCTTTCATAATTTGTCCATGTTCCCTCCATCTCTTTTCCGTGTCCTTACAAGTTAATTATTGAAGAGATGAGTAATTTGCTTGGAGAGTTGCTAACAATCTGGATTTTGAGGAATGCATCACCACGGAGTCTAACGCTCCTTGGTCTTCTGTGTTTTCTCTAAATGGATAGTTGGGTCTGTAGCTGCACTGCCCACTCTGGTAGCCAAAGTCACGTGTGACTATTTAAATTTAAACTAAGTAAAATTAAAAATTAAGTTCCTCAGCCACATTTCAGGTGCTCAGTAACCACATTTCAGGTGCTCAGTAACCACATGAGACCTAGTGGTTACTGTATTGGACAGTGCAGATTAGAACGTTTCTGTCATTGCAGAAAGTTCTATTGGACAACACTGCTTTAGATGCTTGCTCAGGGGTATTTATTTTAGCTAAAAAATATGTCGGGGGGAGGGTCATCTACTAACATCAGGAAGCACACAATATTTGGTTGTCTCTTTGTGATATGAGCAGCTGTTGATAGTCAGGGTCTAAATATTTTAGGTTATTAGGGGTTGTGATATTGTCCTTCATTTCTTAGCTGATACTCTTGTATAGAGATATATTTCCCCTCACCTGCTGTTTGGTTCCCAGTGAGGCAGTTCATTTAGGAAAGGCCAAGTAAGATTCCCTTTATTTACCAGTTTTCAAGCTAATCTGTTGGTTCACCAGAATTCTACAGCGATGGCCAACTTGTTTATTTTTAAAATATTGTTGTGAATCATGATTTAAGGGGTTTTTAAAAACCCATCCATTTGATATTTGGAA